TGGAGTAAGGGTCTTCGTGGCCATATCGCAGAACTGGCCGTCAGATTCAACGAAGTCGAGGCCCCAGGACATGGCTGAGTCGCAGAGTTCTGGGGCCGTCTGGCTGGTCCAGTTGGAGATGATGAGATGTTCGGGCATCCACGTAGGGCGTTTGGGGATGCTTCGCTTTTCGGGCTTCGCTGCGTTGGTGATTACCTAGGTAGCCATTTACTCATATGATTCACTGAATGATGTACTCACCTGTCTCCTCCTCAGAGAGTAGAAGCGCATACCACCTCTTTGTCACCAATTGATGTGACGTCCTTGCCATACGCACCAAGGCTGAACTTGAGCGTTGCGTTCACGATATCGTTCGAGACATCTTCGTTAAGCCTGTATAGTTGGAGGTACGAGTTCAGCCTAACTCTCGATCGCAGTCCGTAAAGTCAGAACTCACCAGGTGCACGAAGGGATATAGTCTTTGCCGGTGTCCTGATACGTTCCAGCCTTTTCCTTGCTGTAGTAAAACCTCTGGTCACAGTAGCGGCCTATGTCGCCGGTCCAAGCACCACCCACAGTGCCGTCGTATTGAACGACGCTAACCCACGCGATGCAAGTAGCATCGTCATTGTTGGAAATGCCTATGTATTCCCCTCGTTGGGCCGCAACAAACTGGGAGATCATCAGGTGCCCGCAGGGTCTATCTGACAACCGCCTGATAGACCAAAGAATTCGTTGGCTTGGCCCCATGAGTAGGCACCATTGATAGACCCGCCCTACTTCCTTGTCAGGCTGTGCGACCAACGTTGAGGCATTGATGAGGCAGGACTGACGAGACTGTCTTCGTCGTTGCCAGAATCAGCAAGACCAGCTACGGAAGTAGTATATATTAGTGACGCGATCTCAAATTTATCAAAAATCGTTTCGCATGGATCTCGTACCTTTGATTTTGAGGCTAGTGCCACCAGCATCTTTACCGGGGAATTGAGAGTCGAAGAAGTTCACGAGAGACAGTCCATCGAAGATAAACCTGCTTGTAGCTTCTGCAGCTTCAACACAAACGTGCGACAACGTGATGCTTGAAAGACCAGCAAACCGTGACAACAGAAGAAGCAGGAAAAGGACTGACATCATGATTCGATGTGGCCGGAGAAGTTGGTCTCGCCGCCTGCGTGTACCATTGACGTTCCAACATTTCATCTCCCACCTAACAAGCACGCGAGCGAGGATACCGGGGTAAGCAGCCACGAATATCATACCATGTGCTACAGCCATCACATTCAGCGACCCCTCAGTACACAAAGCTAACGACCACACGTCCCATCCACTAACCCCCGCAAACCCCCATCACACAACGAGGCAACATGCCCTCACCTCCTCCCACCACCAATATCCTGACCCAACCTATACCCACTAATCTTCTCCCACTCAATCTTCTGCCTCGTAATCGGCAACTGCCTCCTCAGCGCCTTGAACGCACCCTCACTCAGACTACCAAACGCCCTGTTAAGATCCTCCTGATACTTCTTCTCCTCGGCAGCAATCTTCCTCACAACCTCGCTTCCATTCGCACTGGCACCCGCACTGAGGCTAACCTCCTTGGTCGTAAGCAGACGCACGTTGCCGTCTTCGTAGTAGTGCACGTCGACTTTTATGCTGCCGGTGATGGAGCCGGAGGACGTGTCGTAGATGTAGGAGCTGCGCCAGCGGCCGTTCCAGTAGTTTGTGGGGGAGTACTTGTTTGCGACCGTGATGATGGCGAGGGAGGAGGGGGAGGAGGGCACGGGGTATACGCCGTGAGAAGACTTGGGGTAGTGTTCTGAAGCGTGGGTGCTGAGGGACTTGTTTAGGCTCTTGCTGTTGGGGTGAGGTTAGGTTAAGCTTTTATGCGGCATGGGTGTGTTGGTAGCCAATGGGTGTGCGCGAGGGATGCGCGGAGATATTGGCTTGGCGAGGGAGGGGCGGAGCGGAACGTACAGGAGCTCTTCTTGTGCGCTTTCTACGACGTAACTCTGCACAGCGCTGGCTTTGCCCGTGGCGTGGTCAAAGTCGAAGGAGCTTTGTGTGTCGATGTCGTAGTAGCGGCCGTCGCCTAATGAGTTGTACTGGCTGACTAGGACCTCGGTGCTGCCGCCGGGGAGCTTGGTTGTGGTGAATTGCTCCTCGTTGTACTTTTGGAAAGCGGGCGAGAGCTCGTTTTGGACGGCGTCATCGCCGAGGATTGACTTGATTGCCTTGGTGACATCGGCGAGCTGTGGTGCTGTTAGCAGGTGTACTGGTTGGAGGGAGCTCTGTTTTGGTGGGGGAAGTACCTCGCCAGGCGGCGCGCTGTCGATGAAGGAGGAGAGAGCTGCTGTGCGTGACATAGCTGCGATTTGGCTACGTAGCAGAGGGCGGGTATGCTTCTGTGGTTGTCTCAATTGTTTGGCGCGTGGTGGAGTTGCGGGCGGACGTCGAGGCGCGCAGCCGCTTAGTGGGGCAAGGGCCAGCAGGGCGAACAGGGGTCAAACATCCATGTGCCTATAGTCGATTGCGGAGGAAGCTACGTCAACAATGCAGTACACGCAGACGATATGCGCAGTTATTGTTTCATATTTGAATTGGGAAATTGACAATGGGTATCTATATATATCGAGCAACCATCGTTGGCCTCATTAATCCTGGAACGCCGCGCTAAGCCTTGATCAATACTAATATTATCTTACAAGAAGTCATATGGCCATCACTCGATGCTCATCTTCATCAAGCCGTCGTTGGTATCTGTCATGCCCTGCAGACCTATCCGCTTTGGGCCCAGTGTCGGCGTCATGCTCATGCTGCCTCCACTGTTTGATCGCTCACCGTGTGACTGACCGCTGATCGATGTCTCTCGACTGGCTTTAGCATTCGTGCCCCAAAGACTGCTGTCCCTCTGTGCGGGCGACTGCGAGATGACCGGGCTGTTGTGAACACTGAGTCCTGGCGAGACTGCACGCCGTTTGATTGAGGCTTCGTCAAAGTCATCGTCTCGTCGGCGTTTGTTCGACTTCTTCAAAGCCTCAGCTGCTGTGGGGGGCTGCATTGGACCTGGTGTAGATGCTCGGGATGCTCCGCCATTCATGGAAGGCGAGTCCATGTTCATGTCCTCGCTCATTGCGGATGACTCTGCGCGAGGGAAGGATGGCGGTGGAGTATGTGCGGCGCGTTGGTTCCAGAATCCGTTGCTTATCGAGTTGCGACCACTGTGAAGACTACCAAATGCACCGAAAAGTCCCTTAGACGTTGATCCGTCCAGACTCATGTTGCTCTCGCTGCCCTCTTCCGGCACACCCTCGAGCGGACCGTCCAGCCCGGGTACTGTGGGTAGTAGATTGGGCGATGATTGCGCTGTATTAGAGGGCCGCTCCAGATCCGTGTCGCTCTCTCTCACTTGTCGGATGATCTCGGCTTCGCGGCGGAACTCGCTATCAACAGGTGCGGCTTCTTCGAATAGCTCCGCTCGGATGCGACCGAATTGCCTCGATTTGGGCTAGTGAAGTCAGCATCTGATGTCTGCGTGACAACGGAAGTACTTACCAGCAGATTGCCTCTGCGTGTGACAACCCGCCTCACCACACCTGGAGTCTGTGGCAGATTACCGCCCTCATCTCCGCTGTCATTACCAGACGAGATGTGAAGGTCGTTGGCAAAGAGCGACAGGCTCTCTCGTCGTGATCCCGCTTTCCGCATAGCCGCTTCTCGCGCAAAGTAACCCGTGTCTTTGCCGTTTGGCGGCGATGCTGGCCCAGGGCTTGCCATGGAGCTGTGTCCGCTGGCTGAGCTGGAGCTCTTCCGACTACGACCCTTGCGCAATCTTGCCCTATGCATGCTCGCAAAGTTGGGCTGTCCACCAGGCGAGAACAAGTTCGACCACGCGTTACCGGTATTGAGTCCTGGGAAGAGAGTGTTGGTCTTCGCCTGCGGGGTCATGATCATGGGGTCGTCGTTGTCCTCAGGGTCCAGTGGATCCACCTCGTCCGAAGAGCTGCTAGAGTCCTCAGAGCCCATCATGTTGATGCTGCCGACGGAGCTGGACGGAGCGGTTCTATCGCCATGGCTCCAGCCTCCTTGCATGCTCACATTGGGCGAGTCAAGCAGCATCGAGTTGGAGCGAGGCTTCCGCGGTGGTATCTTGATGCCCTTCTGCGTGATCGTCGGCGAGGAATCCGGCGAGGATTGGTCGGGGAGGGTCGAGTGGTGGAGGTTGGTGCAGGCTCTCGAGAACTCGGCACCGCGCGACCGTCGGGGCAGCACAGAGGCAGGCGACGCGTACGTGTTGCGTGAATCTAGCTGGGGCGAGAGGGGCACACGGGCGGCGAAGTGGGCGGGACTGGGCATGGGCGACTCTCGCGCAGGCATTTGCAGCGACAGGCCTCGCGAGAGGAAGTCGGGTCGACGCGGTGTGCTGGGGCTGGCGACGATGGTCTGATCATCTTTGGACATGCGAGCGGGTTCGCGGAATTTCGGAGAGGGCTCAAGACGGGGCGTGCTGTCCGAGAGCGACCGTGCTTTGGGCGAATTCGTCTTTGACGGCGTTGTCGCCAGTTGAGGTTGCGACTCCATCATGCCTCCCTCGCCCTGTTCGGCGGTACTGCGCTCGCTACCGATGTCTGGCGTCATCGTCAACATTGAGGTGGAAGGTTGATATGACAGGAAGCGACCTGAAACGCATTCTCTCAGCAGCGCGCTGTGATCAGAGTCAATTTGTCGGGACTGGTGAATGGCCCGTCCGTTGAACGTCAATGTTACGAAGCGGGGCCTCTCGTCACGTGCAAGCCACCGTCATGGGTGAACCATGCTGTGAGGCTTTACCTACAACCACGCCCTTTGAATATCTCTGAAATGGAAACTTTTGTAGCAAAGGCTGTTTGCATCAGCTGTAGTACTGTACGAAACATATTGACAACTTCCATACGCCATCGGTATGATGTTGATCATGACGCGTAGGCCACCCATAGATCACCCGTGCCTTCGTACCCCTGAACACTCTTCTCATGCTATTGCTAAGAGTCCACAATTCCTTGTACCCACTCGATGTCCTCCCAAGTTGCTTCCCAGATGTTGAGGATTGTCAATGTCCATTCCTTATCCTCGCGCTTCATGGTGCCAATGCAGCGGCAGATCCGCCCTTGCTGTAACAGTCTTCTGCTGTCGTACTCGAAGAGCTGCACCGACTTCCAGATAGCAGCATTGTACACTGCCTTGAGGTAAGGTGGCTTGGCGTGGAAGAGGTCGCAGAAGGTGAACTGCTGCTCTGTACTAGTCCGCTCAGAAGCAAGCACTCTGGCATACATCTCAATCATGATGTGCTTCCCTGATTTGGATGCCTGACAACTTTGGTAGATCACTTCACCGATACGGAAACAGGTCCTGAGCAGTAGGTTTGACGAAAGACCGATGATGGGTGAGCGATCACGGACAGCCTCTGGAAATGGTGGCCTGACAAATGGTTTGTGTATCTTCGATGAACCTAGATCGTCAGTCGCGGCTTGCAGGCGCGTCGTGAGAGTGCCCGGGGAAGTGAACTGCTTTGACACGGACTGGTAGGTCTTCTTGGTAGGACTTTCATCAAGCATGATAGGGGCATCCGCAGAGGTGCCGGGAGGGTGGTGCAGTCTGTCATCGCCATTGTCCACGGGCTGCACAGAGCGGTTCAAAGCAGGATTTGCAAGATCAGGGCATACGTCGTTGATCTCGGATGTCAATGTAAGCAGGTCATCATCGTTGATGTCAAAGTTGAAGTCGTCTTGCGCAAGCATCGATTTCTCAATCTGATGTGGTGCCAGGGATGCATCAAGTTGTTCAGGTTCACTGGTATCAAAGTCGTTATCGTCGAAATCAAACTCGCACAGTGCGGTCGGATACTGCACAGGCAATGTGGCTACTGTATCTTGGCTAACATTTCGTATGGTTTCAGGACTCGCGAAACCATAGTCTGTCATATTGCAGGCTTGACTGATACGGTCCTGGTGTGAAACCGCCGTTCCGTTGCCGGTTTTTGTCGATCGTTGTGTTTGCGCATCGTCAACAAATATGGACTGCGTTGTCATTGACAGCGGAGCCTTAGATCTAGAGGCCGCGGAATTGCGTGCAGGCTCTGTTACCCGACAGCTCTCCGATACTCGATGTTGTTCGGGAAGTCCGTTTCCTTCCGGATTCACGCGTCTGCCATCTGATGTGCTCCCTTGGACGGCCAACCGAGGTCGCTTGCGTCGAGGTTTTGGAGGCGGGCTACGCGGCAATGCCGGCGAAGGAGCACGTATTTCGAGATGCGTTGGCTCGTCCGCGCCACCAAGACCAAGATAGCGTGCGACAGTAGAATTGTGTCGCCGTCGCTCGTGCACGGCGGCTCTCCGGCGTGCCTGATTCTGCTGCACGGGTGCCGCGGTTGACGAGGGAGGCGTCGAAAACTGCGTCGAGGGCTGATTGATGGCCGTGAAACTAGAAGTTGACGAGCGAATGTGAGTGCATCTGCATACTTCAGGTTAGTTCAAGCGATATGAGATAAAAGCAACGTGTAGTGAGAAAAGGTGAGTGAGCGCGCGTCGGGCCTCTCACGCGTCATCACCAGTTCGTTCTCTCATTGTCCCCGTGTCCCCATCGTGATGCAGCGCGTTTGGTGCATCCATGCTGACTCTATCCGTGAAGCGACATGGAGTGGAAGCGGAGTGAGAGATGAGGTGAAGAAGGTTGATGTGGTGGGTCGCGACTTCCATGGTCCCTTACTCAGCCCAAAGCCACCCCACTGCGGGGGGCTTGCGCCCGACCAAGCAACCATAGCTTCATCTTATCGCGTGCGCATAGGCAACCATTACTACTTAGACTTCCGCTACGAAGCTCTGCCACCAGCTCTGACTTCCTGCAAACTTTGCACCACTCGTCAACACATGTTCCGTTGAACCCCGAGTGTTCTATTCTTATCTGTAACACCGGCTCTCTCCTTCCAGACCGACCCTCCGACCTTTCTCAGACCGTGGTGCAAACACCAGACCCTGATTCTGTCCAGATTCGTTCTGACAGCCAAGCAAACATCCTGTTCGGGGCGCTTTCTTTTTCTCGCCTCCCAAATATAGCAGGTCTTACCCTGAAGGGTCAAACGAAGCGACAAACGAAGCGACAAACGTACGATGCCTGTAAGTTCTTCTTCAGACTTGTCTCTCCTTAAGAGCGTTCAAATACCATGTTCTCTTCCGCAGCAGCCCCGTTTCATTCATCCTTCAAACCACCATTCCTACCATAGTTATGATTTCCCACGCTTCTTGGTATGACGGACAACCCCTTCTCTACGGAGAGACGCTTCATAGAACTTCTTCTTCGTATAGCAGTGCATCTTCTGAACTGCAAGCACTTCCTTTGTACCGCAAAAGTCTGTCATTGTCAAGCGAGTCGTCAGTCGAGGCGTCAATCAAACCCCCTCGCAAAACACTTCATCACCACAAGGACCCTAAAGCCTATGCGGACCTTCCGATTTTCGAAAACCCCTGCCCGCTATGCTTCTTTGAACACTGTCACACGGTACTAAGAACATGGATTAAACGTAGAAGCACGCTTTCTCGGCTGTCACGGTCCAGATCGATCGATTGACGAGCGAGCAATACGAGGAGAATGTAAGTTGTCCTGTTAAGATTGCATGTCTCTTGCTAATCAGTACAGGATGTCGGTGGTGTCGTTGATCTCATCGAGGTCATCCGCATCCAGGCATCTGGTCCTACGGAAGCAGCACGAGCTCTGCGAAAGAAGCTGTAAGCTGGATTTCCGCAAATCCACAACGTGTACTAATAAGTACGCAGCAAGTATGGGAATGTACATCGCCAGATCCGTGCGCTTGTCATAATGGACGCTCTAATTCAGAATGCTGGAACTAGATTCCAGAAAGCGTTTGCAGATGAGCCACTTCTCGAGCGACTCCGCATCCTGGCAAGGGACGACACAGTCGATGCTGAAGTACGGCAGAAGGCCAACGTTCTGTTCCGAAGCTGGGCTGTCGCATACAAGGGAACGCCTGGCCTTGAGCGGATAGCTGCACTACACAAAGAACTTCCTCGTACCAAACGTCCTCAGCCACAACAATCTCGGATTGTGCGACAGCAAGATGCCGAAGCTGCGCGTGAGCGTGAGGAGCATTCGCAATCTCCTCCTAGAAGCAGGCGACCGGAGCCACCCCATACGTCATCTTCACGAACGACCACACCTGTTGTACTCGGTGCTGGTACCCCTCTTCCAACCACTTCTCTATTCAAGAGGGACAAGAAAGACAAGAAGAAGACCAAGGGGCAGCCGTTCAACCTCGAAAAGGAGAAGGGTCAGATGCTTGAGACGATGGCATCGGCAAATGTCGCCAGTACGAACCTACTGAATGGCCTGCAACTCATCAACCGAGAGCAACAGCGTGTCAGTGAGAACGCGGAAGTTATGCGACGCTTCGAGACGTGCAAGCAACTCCGTCGCCAGATCTTGCGCTACATTCACCTGGTCGAGTCTGAGCAGTACATTGGCGGTCTTCTCAACGCCAACGACGAGCTAGTCAAGGGCCTCATGGCCTTCGAGCTCATGGACAAGAGCATCGATGATGACAGTGATAGTGATAACGAGGAGGGCAACGTGTCTGCCGCTGAAGCAGCTATGGCGAATATGGGTATGAATGAGTCCGCCCCTCCGAAGCCGCCGAGGCCCATGAGCATCTCCATGCCTCCGCAGCGCGTCGAGCCAGACAGTGAGCCAGAGGAGGATGAGGATGACCCGTTCGGAGACAGCAACGGTAAGATGAAGTCAAAGCTCTCCTTCGAACCCTAGCTAACGCGCTACAGCTGTCAAAACACCATTCGCAGAGAAGGGCCAACCGACCTGGAGGGACGTCTAATACACACAAGGCACTATGGGAACAAGACCTGCATGTTCACGGCGAGACACGGTGTTGGGCTCTCCTCATCTCATGTTCAGCTATACCCTTTTCCTATAGTTTCAATATTTAGAAAGACCTCTAAGCACATTTCCACCATCTGCCATGCATCTCCATCTTCCGCATGCCCCGCGCGCGCCTCTGACCGAACGCGCGGCATTAGCCACGTTCACTGCCACGCGGGCGACGTCATGCAGCCCCTAGCGTCGGCCTGTCATTGGCCTAGCGCCACGCGCAGCATTGAAGCAGGGCTGGATGCGCTCTGCGACCGTATTAATCTCCCCTTTGCCTCCTCGATACCACTGCCTACTAGCTCACGACAAACCTCGTCTTTCACGCACCTTCATCGCATACACTGTGAGTCCCGCCTAGCCTCGTGGCCGTGAACACCGCTAACGTCATCGCAGCGCAACTCCGTCATCTTTCTCAACCAACAGTCACGAACCCGCGACCGTCAACCCCCGAGTCATAATACGTCGTAAACCCACTCGATCATCGCATATTCATACTTCGCAATGCCTGCCTCTACCAACTCCGTCTCTTCGGCCGCCGGCTCGATCGTTAAGCCTCAGGGCGGAAAGTGCAGCTGCATCAGCACCGATGACTGCAGTTGCTGCTGCATTCCCTGCACCGTCATGTAAACGCGACGGCAATATGAAGAGCCGCGGACGGCTTCGACGCATGGCGGCGCCGTCGCGTGCGAAAGCGGAAGCGGAAGCGGCAACAGTCGGCACGTCACGGACGGCACGCGCCAGACAACGGGCACGATAAGGGAACGGTGTTTTGGGACATTTTGAGCGAGCATACCACAGCAGGAGGATTACTTTTGGAGTTTGGGATTGGAGCGATAGCTCGTGAGCTTGTTGGTAACTGCTCATAGCAATAGGACCTTTAGATCTTTCATCCTGCGCGTTTCTGCTCTGAACTTCAAGACCGCCTCTCTTCACACCGTGCATCCGCGAGTAGGGAAGACTATCGCGATGCGCAATCTACAACGCTCTAAATTTTTGTCGCGCGGCTGTTGGGCTATGCCTCGATGTTTCAGTGCCTTGCGCCTGTGGCGAATGGCTTGCCTCAGGTATCCGCCACGCTTCGACTTGGGCGCTTAGAGACCACACAGCATGCGGCACAGCAGCGCAATACTGATGCCTACCAGAGATTGCTAACATGTAGTATCAATCATTTCCTACCCTGTATCACCATCGCATTCGCTTTCCGACGTCTTCCTACCCGCCAGCGTCGATGTACCTCTCCACACCTTCCTCGTCGCCTTCCCCCATCCTCAATCACGCAACTACAGACCCAACATGCGGCTTCGAGGGCAATAATGATATCTACGGCATCAGGATCCGAATCGGTATATACGCGCAGATCCTGGCTGTGTGGTTCGCAAACTACTTCCTCCTCTCTGAAGCCCAGGTACTCCGCGACTCCGTCAGCATCTTCAGCGTCGCAATCCTCATCGTCACGTTGATTTACGCTTCCAATCCGGCCGATGTGTATGCCGTAGAGGCATTCGTCTTGCTACAAATACTGGCATGGAGTTGCATAACGGGTGTGCGCGCCAAGTCGTCGTACAGCGAAGCGACGTTTTCGCGCGGCAGCTTTTTGAGACGAGTGGTGTGTGAGATTGTCAATCTAGTGAATATTTGCCTGCATGTCTGGTTTTGGTGGTCAGGGTTGGACCAGATGAAAGAGACGCCGTGCGGTACGTGGTTGATGATGTATGTGGTCAAGACGGATCTGTTTGGTTGGGCGAGGAAGGTGATGATGGCTATGAGTCTGTTCGTTCTGCTTTGCACCATTTATTGGATGGTTCTGGGGTTTCTGAAACCGTGGACTGCTTGGAAGGTCAGCGAAAAGAGAAGGCAGTTCGTCGAGGCGGTTAGGTCTTGGGAGGAGTCTCGAGGACAAAACCTTAACGAAGAGGCTGTTGAAGAGAAGAACACGGAGGATACCTCAAAGCATAGAGCATCTCACGAAGCATGTACTCAAGCTCTATGCTCACGCTGTCTACCAACGAGAGCCGACTTCGGGCCCACCCGCCCACTCAACTCGGTTCGCACGCGTTCAGATCCCCTGGCGCAAAGAACAGCAGAGTGGAGGTACTTTTCTCGTATCATTCACCAGGGACACTCCAATCGATCATCC